TATTATAACTATTACTATTACTATTACTATTACTATTACTATTACTATTACTATTACTATTACTATTACTATTACTATTACTATTACTATTACTATTACTATTACTATTATTATTATTATTATTATTATTACCATCATGAACATATTCGATGAAATGATCAGGATTCTAAAAAAATGAGAAGTGGCGGAAATGATGAATAAATAAATAAATAAAAACATGATGATTAGTCATAATATAGTAGTAACAATATGCTTTCTCATGACTCTTACCTTTCTATAGCATTTCGAACCAAAAGGACATTGTAATTTAGTACCAGTAACATCAATTTTTTTCTTTTTATTTATATCTTCGTTTTCATCACTTTGGTATTCTTTTTTTTGTTGTTGTTGTAGTACCTGTTGTTGTTGATGGTCAATTTGCTTCCTTTTTTTATCTTCATGTATAGCATTATTATTATTATTTAATGGTTGAAAAGTGACTAAAAATGTATACATTTCGAATAAGAGTGAAAAACAATCACCATCCTCCAAACTATAATTTTGATCCTTTGTCATTTGAACGAAAAATTCCTCTTCCGCTTTCTTTAAGTATGATGGATTTATACCTGTCTAATTATTATTAAAATGATTATTGTCAATCAGTTAGAAAAAGAAAATTGCTTGTAAACTCTTTATTATTATCAATTATTATTACTATTATTCATAGATAAATACAGATGAAATGTAAACAGTATTATCATCATTTAAAGTAATTGTAACTTGTTTTCTTGAACATTTCTTCTCTTGAAGCTGTTCAAATGTTCCTCTTCCAATATAGTGATTACCAATATTTTGGTAACTCACCATTGAATCTTTCAATGAATCATCGATACATTTAACATTTATACTTTTATTGAATTTTGTCATTTTTTTTATAAGTGTGTTTATTCAAAAAAAAAAAAAACAAAATAAAAAAAAGAAAAATATAAAAAAAAATAGAAAAATATAAAAAAAAAAAAAAAAAAATGTTTCCTTAAAAATAAAGAAATTAAAAAAAAGTTTTTTTTTTCTTCGAATAGTGAATTTAAAAATATCTCCTTTTTTTATAGTATAAAAAAATAATTATTTTATTTTATTTTATTTCTTTTTTTTAACAAAACAATAAAAATTAATAATACATTTTTTTAAAAAGTATTGTTATTTTAATTTGATTCTTTATTAATTTTTATTAATAAAGAATTGAAATAATTTGAATTTTCAGGCGATTTTGGCACGCCTAAACCAAGTTTATACATATTTGATAGATTTGAAATTGCAGGTATACTCCTATTATTTAAATTGAAAGCATTTTGATAACAATAGAAAGCTTTTGAATAATCAACATCAGTACCGAATCCATTGAAATGGCAAACACCTTGGTTTATGTATGCATCAGAGTTTCCTAAATTCGAAGCATCAATAAACAATTGTAAAGCTTTTCTATAAGATTGTTCTCTACCGTTGTCACCTCTGAAATATTGTTCACCCAAAATCAAAGAAGCCATTGAATCACCTCTTTCAATACCCATCTCTAAATAATGATTAAACTGATCGATATCTTTCTTACCAACACCACCAACACCATCTAAATAAAGTAATGCTAAAAATGATGGTGCTTTATAATTACCTTGTTCAATTGATAATTTTAAAAATTTAATTGAATCAATTAATTGTTCCTCTTCTCCTAGTACTTCATGTGAATCTCTATTTATAAAAGTCGAACCTAATAAAAAACTTGATTCAGAATTACCAAGTTTTGAAGCTTTAATTAAATATTTCAAAGCCAATATTAAATGTTCCTCATTTGAAGTATCAGACGAATATAATGATAGATAGTATTTACCTAACTCTAATGTTGAATTAATATCATCAAAATCTGTGGAAGCTTTATCCAACCAATAGATACCTTGCTTTTCATTTCTATCTACATTGAATCTACCATTTAATAAAATCATACCCAAATTGAATTGAGCCACTGAAAAGTTTTGAATTGCACTTAAATTTAAATATCTTAAACCTTTTTCAATTCTTTTTCTCATATTGATTTCATCTTTAATTAAATTCTCTTTAAATGATATCGATTTCTTTCTTTCTTCTTTTAACCATTTTTTATAATCAAATTGATCTTCTCCCTCTTTATTATTTATTGATACCCAACCATTACCTAATAAAACATTTTCTTCATTATTACTATTATTATTATTATTATTATTATTATTATCAATTGATTTAAAACTATTTATAATTGTTGGAAATAATGGTTGAAATAAATTCTCTGTATTATTAAAAATTAATGATAAACCATAGGCAAATTGACCTTTTGAATTATTATTTTCAGCTGATTTTTTAAAATATTCTAAAGCTTTTTCATTATCTTTTTCAACCAGTATACCTTGTGCATAGAATGTACCTAAATGAAAGTCAATCAATTCATCATTGTCCAATATGTTTTGTTCAAGTTGAATATATTTCTCAACCTCAACTGTTGTCATTTTACTTGTATAATCATCTCTAATCTTATTTAATAATTTTATATATTGGCTTTTTGATGATTCCCCTTTTTCTATTTTTTCATTAATATTATTATTATTATTGATGTTGTTATTATTATTATTTATTATAGTGGTTGGTGGTATAGTTGTAGTTGAATTATTATTGTTACTAAATTCGATTGATTTTGGGATTGAAACACAAAATGATCTTCTATTATAATTAATTCTTTTAAATACTTTGAGTGTATTAAAAGAGAATTTTAATTTATTCATGTCAATCGTCTTTTGGTTCGAAATAAAATAAAAAATAAAAAATAAAATAAAAAATAAAAAAAAAAAATAAAAATAAAAACAAAAAAAAAAATAAAAAATAAAAAATAAAAAAATAAAAAATAAAAATTCACCAAAAATTAATAAACATTTTCCATAATTTATTTAAATATACTCAATTATTATTATTATTCATATTATTTGTTTTTACACGTGTAAGGAAAAAAAAAAAAAAAAAAAAAAAGGAAAATGTTGGGAAAGATTTAAGTATACAAAACGAATTATAATTCTAGGTTTTATAACAATTTTTTACATTTCGAGAAGAAAAAAAAAAAAAAATTTAAAAAAAACAAAAAAAATTAAAAAAAAAACAAAAAAAAGAAATAGAATTATATTACATAGTTATTATAATTATTAAGATTAGCATTCTTTTAGTAAGACACTAAAAAAATCTATTAAAAAATATCAATTTTGCTTTTGTTGGGATTTTTTAAAAAAAAAAATTATTAATATGCCATTCTTCATGGAATGAAACATGGAGAACATTGTTCTTTTACTTAAAAAAAAAACAATAAAAAAAGATATTTTGAAAAAAAAATTTAAAAAAAAAAAAAAATTAAAATTTTTTTTTTTTTTTTTTTTTTTTTTACAGATTAGATTCGCTATTTAAAAAAATTCGCTTTTTTAAATTTCAATTTTCATATCTCAACACAAACAAAAAACAAATACAAATTTAATTAAAACATATATTAACATGGAACCATCATACAAATTATCATCTGGCCATAATATCCCACTTGGTATGAATTTATAATTGAACATTTCTGAAAAAAAAAAATGAAAAAAAAAAAATTTTAGTTTTAACTAATTTTTTTTTTTTTTTTTTTTTTTTTTACTAATTATTATAATATAGTTGGTTTTGGTACTTGGAAAGCTGAAACTACATTAGTTGGCAAAGCTGTTGAAGCTGCTCTCGATGCTGGTTATAGACACATTGATTGTGCTGCTGTTTATTTAGTAAGTTTTTCTTTTTTTTTTTTTAATAATGTTAATACTAAAATGATGAAATTAATTATTTTTTTTGTTATTTTTAGAATGAAAAAGAGGTTGGTGAAGCATTTACAAAGAAATTTATAACTGAAGGTAAAATTAAAAGAGAGGATGTTTTTATTACCTCAAAACTTTGGAATACTTTCCATAAGAAACAACATGTTAGACCAGCTTTAGAGCGTACATTAAGTGATTTAGGTTTACAATATTTGGATTTATATTTAGTTCATTGGCCAGTTGCTTTTGAATATTCAAGTGATGATATCAAAACAAGTGGTTCAACTCAAGAGTTTGTTTCAATTCGTGAAACTTGGGAAGAAATGGAGAAATTAGTTGATGCTGGTCTCGTTAAATCAATTGGTCTTTCAAATTTCAATGTTCAAGGTTTAATGGAAGTTTTATCTTATGCTAGAATTAAACCAGCTGTATGTAGTTTGATTTATTCTATTGTTTTTTACTTCTTTCATATATTTGTATTAATTTATATTAACTATCAATATATTATTTTTTTTTTTTTTTAGGCTAATCAAGTTGAATTACATCCATTCCTTTCCCAACCAGAACTTAAAAAGTTTTGCGATAAAAATAACATTCATTTAACTGCCTATAGTCCATTAGGTAGTGGTGCATTCGTTGATAACCAAGAAGTTGCCTCTATTGCCAAGAAATATAACAAATCCATTCCAAATGTTTTATGTAAATGGGCAGTCCAAAAGAATTTCTCTGTTATTCCAAAATCATCAACACCATCACGTGTAGCTGAAAACTTTGACATTTTCAACTTCACTATCGATGAAGCTGATATGCTCTCTTTAGATAATATGGATAAAAATCTCCGTACTTGCGACCCAGCCAAATTCTGGGGTGTACCACTTTTCAATTAAAAATATAATAAATTAAAAAAAAAAAAAGTTTTTTTTTTTTTTAAAATTTTATTTACATTTTAGGTATTACTATTTCTATAATGCTATTTGTAATGTGGTTTTTAATAATTTTAAGTGTTATAAATCTATACAATTACACGATAGAAGACTTCAAATGGTACTACAGCGATATCAATCTGGACCTCCATAGATCCGAAGCATATCGAAATTACATATCCATATAATTTCTATACCTGATGGGGACGGGTGTCGAACCCTTGGTTCAAAACTTGAGATATAAAAATTTTGTAAGCTAAGGGATTCGAACCCTTGTATCAATGATATTGCAGCCTTAATGCAACCCCTTAGACCAGCTCGGGCAAGCTTACTTTGTTGAATCTTAAATTTATAACAGAGGTAAGTGGCCGAGGTGAGTAATAAAAATTTTTATCAACTCCAACATCCACTTGATTATTTTATTTTAATCACTTAAATTCATTATTATTTTATTATTAAATTAAAGATAAACAGTATCTATCTACTGTAAATCTTTATTTCTTTTTTTTTCTTTTTTCTTTTTTTCGATAATTTTGCGCAAGCGAAATTCTTAAAAAAAAAAAAAAAATAAAAAAAATAAACAGTAATAAAAATTTTTATCAACTCCAACATCCACTTGATTATTTTATTTTAATCACTTAAATTCATTATTATTTTATTATTAAATTAAAGATAAACAGTATCTATCTACTGTAAATCTTTATTTCTTTTTTTTTCTTTTTTCTTTTTTTCGATAATTTTGCGCAAGCGAAATTCTTAAAAAAAAAAAAAAAAAAAAAAAAAAAAAAAAAAAAAAAAACCAAACAAAAAATAAAATTAAAGATTCAAGAACTTTACATTTTCAAAAAAAAATAGAAAATCCAGAATAAAAAGAAAATGAGTTCTTACGCAGAAATAACAAAAATTAGTGGAATAAATGGCGACAAAATATTCCAAGAAATAAGCGAAACTGTCTTTAAAACTCAAAAAATTTTCAAAACTTACAAATTTATGATCAACATAAAAGAAGAAGTAAATGAAGAACTTAAAAACAAACTACAAAACCTCTCAGTAGGAGATGGGGACAAAATAATCATAAGTAATGGCAAATACAAAGTACTCACAGACCATAAAGAAACAGTGAGAAAAATAATGCCAAAAATCAAATCGGCCTTAAAGGGGATCCACAAAACAACGATCAGACCCCTAATAAAATTCTCCGAATTCAACTGGATAAACTCATTAAAATCAGTCAAAGAAATCATGGTAAAAAGTGGCATAGAAATAATCTACACCACAATCAAAAATAAAACTCTAAAAATCTACTCGTTCAACACAATTAAAGAGAATGTAAAAGATAAAAGTATAAATTACGAGTATATCTCGGTAATGTGCCACAGTAACACCAAAAAGGTCGATAGCGAAGAATTAAATAACAAAAAAGAATCAATTCAAAAAGAGATGTTAACTCAAAACTCTCAAACAGAAACAAAAACAAAAGACTCCAAAAAAGTAGAGTCAACAGCCAATACACCAAAAGAAGACACAACTATATTAGCCTTCAACAGCCGAGAAGAATTAAAAGACTTTGAGGAAATAATAAAAGAATCCAAAAAGAGCTCTGAAACAACAGAGACAACTAAAACAATGGTAGAAGATCCTCAATTAAAAATAAGCATCACATCACCACTAAAAAACTTTAAACAAGACGACTTAGAAATTCTAACACAAGAGTCAGAAGTTTCCCAAGATCTCAATACCCAATCACAAAACGACTCTGGAACAGAATCCTCAGTAACAAAGAATTACCACTCCGCTATAAGACAAGAAGGAGAAACCGAAGAGAACTTCGAAAGAAGATTAAAATACATGGTTGACGAAGCATATCTTCAAGAAAAAAATTATAAAGAAAAATGGAACAAAGAAGTTTTTAAAGTACCAAGCCTCTCCTTCAAAATTCCGGAGACAAGAAACACACCCGTGAAACTCAATTTTCAAGGATATAAAACACAAGAATCGATTCTCTCACCAAAGAAAGGATACATTTACCCTTCATACAACCAAAACGAACTTGAACAAATAAGCGCAAGTATTAACCAATCACTAAGGAAAATCTCACCAGAGTTATCAATAGATTTAACAAACTCTAAAAATAAATAATACAATTAAAATTGGAGTTTGGAATGCACAAGGCATCAATTCAATATCATCAGCTACAACTACAAACTCTATTCTAAAAAAAATAAAAACAGATGCCACAATTATAACAGAAACAAATTTGTCAGAAAACAAAGTAAAAACGATTAACAAATTCATAGACCACTCATCAATACACCATGCTACAGTCCAAAAGAAAGGGCAAGGAGTATCTTTAATAACAAATAAAAACATAATCACCAAAGAAAACAAAACAATAAACTCCAGATTGTTAATATCATCCTGGAAGGTTGGTAACAACGAGTTAAAAACGGCGGCTATATACTGTCCAGCTAAACCAACTGAAAGAAAAGAATGGATACAAAAAAACCTAACTAAAGAAAATTTACAAGAACTAGATCTCATAGCAGGAGATTTTAACATCAACGAAAAAGAACCATTCAACCAACATAACATCCTGTTAAAAGGAATCCTAAAAGGAGTAGGCCTGTATGAAATAAAACCAAACTCAAATTTATTCACGTTTCCAAGAACAAACTCTAATATAGATAGAATATTCATCTCAAAAAAATTACAACACATGAACCCAAAAATTAGTATCCAAAGAATAAAGGAGAAAAGTGACCACAACATGTTAATATTAGAGCTGCAAATGAAAGATTTCACACCTATTTCCAAATCACAAATGTGGATTCAAAACACCACAATAGTAAAAACACCAAAATATTCCGAAAAAATCAACAACACAATAGAGTATTTCATAACACAATTCAAAAAGAACGGCCCCAATTACGCCAACTGGAATATATACAAAAAATGGTTAAAAATAAAACTAGAAATAAAAAAAAAATCAAAAAACCTGGAGATAAGAGCTAATAATTCCTATAACCAAAAAATAAATTTCCTTCAAGATAAATTATATAAAACAAACGATGCAGAAATTGAAAAAGAAATAAAAACAAAAATCTATGCATACGAAAAAGAAAACAATGAAGAAAAATCTACCAATTACTCAAACGCCTTCCTCAATAACAAAGAAACCCCTTCCAAGTTCCTAACTTCAATTCTAAAAACAAGAAAAAAAAATAATATAATAAACCAAATACTGAAAGAAGATAAAACTCTTACAACCAACCAGGAAGAAATTCTAGAAAGCGCCAGACTATACTATGAAAAACTCTATGAAGAAAAAGATTGCTCAGAAGAAGCACACCAAATCCTCCTAAGATCTTTCAAAAACAAAATAGAAATAGACATTTTAAAAGATCTAGACAAAGAGATAAATGAAAATGAAATCAGACTTATAATTGAAAAAATCAAAGAAGGTAAAGCTCCAGGTGAAGACGGTCTGACCCCCTCCTTTTATAAGACCCACGTAAACGTAATAGCACCCTTACTAGTAGACCTTTTCAATAAATTCTTGAACGACGGAATACCAATAGAGTTCAAACAAGGAATACTAATCACAATCTTTAAAAATAAAGGTGACCCAAACAATCTGGACAACTATAGACCAATTACCCTATTAAACGTCGATTATAAAATATACTCAAAAATTATAAACAACCGAGTACTAAAATTCATGAACAAACTAATATCTCCCTCACAAACAGGCTTCATTCCAAAGAGAGTATTACACGATAACATCATCACTCTAAACTCAGTAATAGAATGGTCCAAAAGAGAACAATGGGCAGAAGGTAAATTCCCAATTATCACTTTCTATGATTTCGAAAAAGCTTTTGACTCGATATCGCATAAATCGATAAAAAGAACTCTCCAACATATAAACCTCCCACCGAAATTCAGCAACGCGATAATGAACCTGCTAACTGATTCAAAAGTAAAAGTGTCAATCAATAAACAAATATCAAAAAGCTTCACCACAAAAAGAGGAACAAAACAAGGGGACCCCATATCACCAACACTTTTTGCACTAGTAGTAGAATGCATGGCAACAAGCATAAAAGGTTCGGATCTTACAAAGGGCCTACAACACGGAGGAATAACATCAAAGATCCTACAGTTCGCAGACGACACAACCACTCTAGCTTTCAACTTCCTAGATCACCAAATGATGGACAACTTCATCAAGATATTTTGTGATGCCACATCAGCAAGAATAAACCAAAATAAATGTGCTTGTATCAAATTAAGACCAGAAACCCCATCAATATACCAAGAAGTGAAAAACCAAGAAAGATATCTAGGTTTCAATTTCAACAAGAATGGGCTGGCCCCAAAAGCAAAACTGATACAAGCAAAAATAAAAGGTCTACTGAAACAATGGAACAAATCGACATCCACATATCAAGGAAGGATAACAATAGCAAAATCATACGGTTTATCACAACTCACGTTCTTCACCTATCTCGAAAACCTTGACCCAAGAGAACCAATAGACGGAGTAATTACAAAATTTATTTTCAACTGTAACAGAAAGAACACCATGTCTCTTCAAAGAAGATTAGCCGACTACTCTAATGGAGGACTAAACCTATGGGACTCATCGGTAAGAGCAAGCGCCCAAAAAGCCTGGATCTTTGAAAGACACCTTCATGAAATTAAAAATGGAACTCCAAACTCTTTCAATGAAGCATGGGTAAACGAAAGAAAATTAAATTTTGGAAACTACAATCCAGCAGCACCAAACTTCAATAAAAGACCATCACATATCCAAACAATGTGCCACAAAGAATGGTTAGAATTAAAAAAAAAAGAAAAAATCACAACCCTATCCCCACACTACAAAGAGCTACCTAAGCTAAAAATAATATACCAAGATCTAATGAAAATCAAGAAACCAGATTACAACAAATATACGCCTACACCAGGTCAAATAAAAATACAAGAAGACCTAAATATTAAAGTGCTACCATTCTTAGAAGCAAGAAGACTAATGTCTATCAAAGGCAGAGACTTAATTTGGAGATACTTACTTAAAGCCCTCCCCAAGTTATACGGTAAACCCTGTGTATTCTGCAACCAAGAAGAAACAGCAGAACACATATTTTTCAAATGTAACTCCCACCTAAAAAAAACGCAAGAAATAATAGATAAAATACTGGAAAAATCAAACAATACAGGTTTCGCATGGAACCAAACTGTACTAAACCGGCTATCGAACCCTCTGATAGGAAATACAATTGCAATTATTTTCGAAATGATATGGACGAGAAGAAATAAAACAATCCAT